AGTAGCTGGGACTACAGGGGCCTGCCACAGCGCCTATTTTTTTTTTTTTTTGGTTGCAGCCGTTGTTTGGCGGACCCAGGCTGGATTGGAACCTGCCACCTTAGGTGTATGTGGCTGGCACCTTAGCCACTTGAGCCACAGGTACCGAGCCAACACCCATCTATTTTTAGAGACAGGGTCTTGCTCTCACTCAGGCTGGTCTCAAACCTGTGAGGTCAGGCAATCCGCCCACCTTGGCCTTTCAGAGTGCTGGGATTACAGGTGTGAGCCACTGCACCTGGCCTCTGCCAAAAAATTTCAAAATAAACCTAGCTTGGTAGTGCATACCTATAGTCCTAGCTACCTGGGAGGATGCCTTGAGCCCAAGAATTGGAAGCTGCAGTGAACTATGAATGTGCCACTACTCCAGCATGGCAAACAGTTGAGACCCTGCCTTTTAAAAAAAAAAAATGCTGAATATATGGGGTCTTGTGCTGTGCAGGCTGGACTTGAACTCCTGGGCTCCAGCCATTCTCCTACTTAGCAGCAGCCTCCTAAGTGGCTGGGACTGTAGGCCACTTTTGAAAGTACTTTTTGGGGCCGCTGCCTTACTCCTTTGAGCCATGGGCACTGCCCCTGGAAACTACTTTGTCAAGCTAAGTGACCTTGGCCAAATCACTTAATTTTCCTGGGCTCTTTCTTTTTTTTTTTTTTGAGACAAGAGTCTCAAGCTGTTGCCCTGGGTAGAGTGCCATTGTGTCATAGCTCACAGCAACTTCCAACTCTTGGGCTCAAGCGATCCTCTTGCCTCAGTTTTTCTATTTTAGTAGAGACTGGGTCTTGCCTTTGCTCAGGTTGGTCTCAAACTCGTGAGCTCAAACAGTCCACTTGCCTCAGCCTCCCAGAGTGCTAGGATTGTAGGTGTGAGCCACCACACCCAGCCACTGTTTCTTGTCTGTAAAACAGTTGCTGCCCACTTTGCAGAGTTGCCACTAGAAATGGGTAAGACAGGATAAATGGAAGAAGTTTATACAATTATCTCTTGTATAGTGTCTACGTGGCTACCTGCTTGCCTCTCATAAAGCAGGCTCTCAATTTTTTTTCTGCACTCAGTGGTAAGAAAGGAAATTTGAATGAAAAGAGAATTGAGGACAAGTCAGGTAGTAGGTTAAGGCCTGCTTCCAGGCACAACCTTCCATGTTGTGTGGCCAAGAAGGTTGGAGCCACATGGGTTTCCAAAGCAACCATGGCCATCAGATCAACCCCATCTCAGGCATTCTGAAGAGCACTGATCTGCACCATTAGGCACTCAGCTTGGCAATCTGATTATGTTTACATCCAGTTGTTTCTCTTCTCTACCAAAATGGGCTGGGTCCATGTCATTTTATGAGTACTTCCTGTAGTGACCTGGTTGTACTTAAGGTAGCCCTAGCCTCTGGATAATTCAAAACTGATCTGAGATGATGGCTTCCAGAAATTATTCTTGATGGGTACAAATACAGCCATTTCTGAAGAAATATGCCTGATTTTTTAAAGGAATGCAGATAAGAGGTTGTAGATTGTTACATGATAAGCAGGACTAAGTAATCCCACACAGATGGCAGAGCTGGGATGTGAAGCACCTTTCCAAAGACCGCAGCTTCTTCATCACAGACAGCACTGTTGGGCTTCTCACAAATTTTGGTTTGAGGGACATACAGACATGCCAGATGGAACTAGGATTCAGTCCTTGAGGGGCTTATTGGCTGTATGACCTTAGACAATTTACCCTGAAGCTTTACTTCCTCCATGTAAATGGACAGTGTTGCTAGGAGGGAGAAGTGATCACATGTGATAAAGCTCGGCACAGAGCCAGCATACAATTACTTGCTGCATCCATGAACTCCAGTGAGTAGCTTGAGAGAAATAACACCAGCAATCAGGTAACAATGAGACATTTACAGCTTTATTTAACAATCTGTAAAAAGTCATATTCTGGCAGAGTGATGCATTTATTATCTCAGCAGAAAGCAAACAATGTGTCTGAAAAGCCCCTTCCCAAGATCTGGAACTGAATAACCCTGAGCTTACATTCCAATGCTTCCAAGAACTGGGCTCTCGCTGCGTGGCAGTTGGTCTCCGTAGTCATTCACCCTCCTCCAGCTATCCTCTCTGGCTGGCTGTGACCCTTCACGTAACAGTAGACAGGAAGCTTAAAACAATTTTATTTGGTCAGGGCTGCCCTGACAGATTGGCCCCTTCCCTCCTACCAAAGGGAGTTCATAGGATCAAGAATCTTTCTGAAGGGCAGTGCCTGTGGCTCAGTGGGTAGGACGCAGGCCCCATGTACCGAGGGTGGTGGGTTCAAACCCAGCCCCGGCCAGTTAAAATAGCAATGACAACTGCAACAACAACAAAAAAGCCGGGTGTTGTGGCGGGCGCCTGTAGTCCCAGTTACTCGGGAGGCTGAGACAAGAGAACTGTTTAAGCCCAAGAGCTATGAGCTGTGATGCCACGGCACTCTACCGAGGGTGACAAAGTGAGACTTAGTCTCAAAAAAAAAAATTGAAATCAAGGTTATACTTCACTCTCCCTGTTACAGACCTGGGAGGCACTTTTTGAGGATTTACAGATGTCTGCTAAGTGGTATTAGACACTGCAATGACATCAGTTTTGCTCTTGTAGAGCTGAGACCTGGAATATTTTTCTATTTTCCTGTGCTAGAGAGTCCAGTAATTAAGCCACATTCGCTCCTTTGAAAAAATTCTGTTGTATCAGAACCTCATTATTCATGGGCTTCTAGTAGAATATATACCTCCCTTTAATTTATAGAATATGTGAGTTCATTTGCATGCAGGGGGTGGATGGCCACCCTGCCTGCCTCCCTTTGAATAGGCACCTTGAAGGTCCCAACAGTCATTACGATCTCTTACATTCTTTGGAGCAGCTATCTCCTAAAGTCACTTTTCAAATCATGTCGACCAATTTGGAACCAAAAGAGAATGCAGTGGCCTACCCAACTAGAAATCTGTTCTGCATATTTCCCTTAAAAACATCATTGAGAATGCAAAAAAAGTCCCTTTTTGTTTTTTGCAGAAGCACTACAAGAAAGCATGTCTAAAATCACAGAACTATATACACACAAACAGACACGCGTGCTCGCACACACAGAGTTGGGATCAAAGATCTTATCTGATACATAGTTGGGGGAGCACAGGAAAAAGCTGGCAAGAGAAGATATGGAGATTGGATCAGCTAAAGATGTTGGAATGTTACAGTAATGTCATGGATATGGTCTTAGTATATACAAAAAAGGGGGCGGGCAGGCAGAGAGAATGGTAAAATCCAGGCTACTAGAGAGAGGTTCAGTGGCCATGCATGAGTTAAAGATAGTAGAGGCCAGTTTACTGGATGAAATGTTATATTATGGAGTGGTCATTTGAAGAAGGATGGACTTGCATGGTCCAGGGGAGGAGCATCTGCTTAGCAGGACACCTCCATGGTCTGGTGTCTTTCGAGGACATCGGGGGACTCACAGGATTCTTGAGTTCCATCTGACTGAGTGCTGGTGAGAGACCGGCTGAAGGGACTTTCTCCAGAGCCAATACTACTTGAGGTCGAATGGGTTCGTGATCGGACGAGCCGGGTCATGCTGGCAGATGGTACTGTTAACAAAGAACCGAGAGGACTAGAAGATGGAACCCCAGTTATGTTCAGTTAATCTAGAAGTTTCACCAGAAGTTTCATGTTTAGACTTTCCAACCCATTTTATTTATTTTTTTTTTTTTTGAGACAGAGCCTCAAGCTGTCCCCCTGGGCAGAGTGCCATGGCATTACAGCTCACAGCAACCTCCAACTCCTGGGCTCAAGCGAGTCTCCTGCCTCTGCCTCCCAAGTAGCTGGGACCACAGGCGCCCGCCACAACGCCCGGCTATTTTTTGGTTGCAGCCATCATTGTTGTTTGGCGGGTCCGGGCTGGGGATTCGAACCCGCCACCTTAGGTGTACGTGGCTGGCGCCTTAGCCGGTTGAGCTATAGGCGCCGAGCCTTCCAACCCATTTTAAATGACACCCAGGACAAGGGACAGCTATCGCCATTTGCATCATCACTAGATGTGTGGCCATATGCAAGGCTACTTTGATCCTATAGATCTGGTTGGAATCTCAGCTGATTCTGGTCCATAGTAGAACAAGGGGAAACCCTAAGTCCACATAGAGTATAGCCTCTTAGCTATGCCCACACCATTCATACAGTGATTAGGAAGGAGGCTTTGGGAACCCAACAGGTAACCAAAACCTACCGTGCATGCAAGACTAAACCAAAAGAAAAAGGACAAACCACACAAGTATGAAAGTGTTTCATAAACACAGTGCAAGCCCGATACAACAAGACTACCATCCGTGTCCACAGACTACCCTCACTACCTGGGAAGGAGACATGTAGGAAGGTCTGGGTAGAGGGGAGAGTAGCTATGCTGGGAGCTGCCTTTTACACAGGGATAAAGTATAGGCTGCCAGGGAGGAACACCTCCGGGGTTAGGCTCCTATTACTACAGGCTTCTGTTCTGCTAATGTTTAACCCTAAGGTCCTTCCAGCTTGGCTAGGACAAATCTTACCTAGCAAAACCTCCCTCCCTATCCTCCTGAGGCACCAGTCATTTCAATGCTGGGGTCAAAAGGTGCCATCACCTGCAGAGTTCATTGGGTGTAGTCTCTGGCATTTAGAGTCAAGGCTGCCCTTCCATTCCTGCCTGTGACTGAAGATTAATTCTAGGAGGCAGTGGAAGGAGGCCCTACTTATCAAGTTTCAGCTGCTATTAGGACCCTGTATTTAGGATCACATGAAGAGGTCTGGCCCTTACAACCAGATCCTTTCTTCCCCTAGGGCTTGGGCCTACAGGCTAAACCTCTTGGGGGATAATGAGCCACGTTCTATCGGGTTCTCACTGCACAAGAAAACTGCGGACATGCTGCAGGCAGCCAATGCAGCAGGAGAGCATGGCTGGGAGGCAGAGGGCAGGGCCAGCACAGAGGAAGGTACCTGACTCGGTGCTCAGATGACTGAGCTGCACATACGGTACTGGAAGCAGGATGGACACAGGAAAAGGCAGGTTAGTGACCAAAGTGCCAAGTGGCAACCTAAGCTACTTAGTAGACACTAACAAAATACTCTAAGCCAGGGATAAAATTTTAAGGTCCTATAGAGGAGTGAGGCTGACAGACACTTCAAAAAGCATCTCAGATGTTACTTCTCTCAACTAGACAAAGGCAATTGTTTTCCCTTCTACTATAAACAGTCATCTTGCTTTGGATCAGAAATGGGTTAGAAGATCACCGGTTTTCTAAGAATGGGTAAGGAGAGGGACTTCTCCTCCTTCCAGTGAGCCAGAGGGCTATGGGTGTGGGCTCGGTTGGTAGCAGCTCACAGACGGGATGACACAGCCACTTGAGACAAGACATATATGGTCTGCCTGGCAGGTACAGGGCTGCACCCAAGGCCCAGCTCCCAGAGCAGCTGACCCAGTGGCTCACAATAGCCATTTTCCACACTGATACCAAAGATAGGAGAAAAATCAGCCTACTGGGTAGAGGAGCTCTGTACCTGGGTATAAAGGTTTTTCTTAAAACTCCAATATAGGAGCAAGTGTAGATAATTCTATGACAAATAAGAAAGCTCAGGGATCTCACAATACAAGAGACCAGGACAACAGCATATGATATGGACACATCCTTGCTCTAAAATGCCCTGCAACTTCATGTCCTGTAGTGGAATAGAAGATTTAACCAAGAACACTATTCTCTTCTTCTGGAGTCTCCATTGTTTCTCTAGGCCAGGAGTTATTAACTATCTGACTTCAAAAGCAAATCACAGTTTCAGATTCACTGCTAGGACAGCTTAAGCTTCAGTGGTTATAATGGAGTCAGACTGCCTTGGTGTGAATCAACTGCAGCTTTACTCTTACCCTGGGAAATGTACTTAGTCTCTCTGAGCCTCAGTTTCCTCTTCTATAAAATGGGACTAATAGTAGAACTTACCTCTTAGGTTAAGAATATATAGTATGTGACACAAGGTAAGTGCTTAATAAGTGTTAGCTTCTTATATGCACAAATGAATGCTCCATAAACATTCTGGTTTCTACTTTCTCTAGCATAGGTTATGTCCTAAGAATTGCAGGCTCTTAGATGTCAAGCCATTTGGCCACCATTATTCATAAATCTTCGTTAGAAAAGAAGTGGTATACTACTCACTGTAGCCCATTCCCTGTAAGAAGTATTTGAAGGCCTCGGTGAGCTTCCCGGGCTGTAGGGACAAAACAAGAAGGCATTAATTTTTATATAGGCAGAGAGGTAGAATCAAACAGGTGTTTTAAAAAAAAAAATCTCACCTGAACTACCTGAGGCAGTCCCCCACAGTCTGCCATCTAGAAGAGGAAAAACATGCAAGTCAGCTGGGACTGACACTTAAGGGACATGCTCTGAACATCCCAAGCCCTGTCAAACATGACAGAATTGAATTTCAGATTCCTTACAACTGTGTCCCAGTTTTATCTCCTCAGTGTTCTCCTATACAAAGACTTGGACCCTTGCAATAATCTTGGGTGCAAATCTAAAAGAACTATTCAACACCTATTTATCAGTAAGATGCAAGGTCTGGCTCTCAGGCCCAGGGTGGGAATTTTCTGTCAATGAAGTTAGGGCTCTGCCTCCACCTGAAGAATGTTACTTTCGAAGTCCTCAAACAGTGTGACCCTGACTTCTCTGTGCATCCTGCTTTCTATGTCCCCTTCAACTGTACATTATCCTTACTCCATGACTAAAGGGAGTTCTCCAATCAGTAGCTGACACTGATTCAGCCACCTTGCTTGGTCAGTCACTTTCTTCTTATAGCTGGATTTGTTTTCACCTCATAAACCCTATAACTGGTTTTTCTTACCTGCAACAATTTCTAGGGTAGGGCTTCATTAGTGTGCACTAGAATCATCCAGAGAACGTGTTTTTTTTTTTTTTGTAGAGACAGAGTCTTACTTTATCACCCTCACCCTCAGTAGAGTGCCGTGGCATCACACAGCTCACAGTAACCTTCAGCTCCTGGGCTTAGGCGATTCTCTTGCCTCAGACTCCCAAGTAGCTGGGACTTCAGGGGCCTACCACACTAATTTTGTTGCAGTTTAGCTGGGGCCAAGTTTCTACTCTCTGTATATGGGGCTGAGTTTGAACCCGCCACCCTCGGTATATGGGGCCTGCTCCCTACCCACTGAGAACCTGTTAAAATTCAGAATCTTTGCCCTACAGAATCTGATTTAATAGGTCTGGAGTTAGGTTCAAGAATTTGCATTTATAACAAGCTCCCAGGTGATACATTTTGCAGAAAACAGTATTTTTAGGATATGATGGCCAAACATAAGCCCACCCTCTTCTCCTCAGCTATTATGTACTTTGTACTCAGTCTGTATCCTATTCAGCCTGACTGGCTTTTTTTTTATTTTTTAAATTTTTTTAAGGGACATGAACTCCATGGTTTCAATTTACTGGGACTAACTTTCTTTGAGGAGGGGGATTTACTGAGAAGAGAAAAATGACACAGAAGACAAAGAAATTTGAGATTAACAAGGAATAGTCCCTTGAAAATTCTACACATAAGATTAGAAAGGAGCAATTAACCTGACAAATATTTAACGGACCAAACTGTCATAGGCTGTATTTTCATTAGTTTAGTAGATAAAGCATGATAAGAACCATAAAATAGTTCCCATAGGCAGGCACAGAATACTGGGAAAAACTATTTCCAAAACTCATACTCATCAAATAGTTTGAGGATCAGTTCAATCCGTCATACATAGTTATCCTATCTTCCATGCTGTTGTAAATGGGTATTTCTGCCTAGAAACCATGTCTATGACTATTGTAGATTCAGTTTTGTACTTCTGAATACTGATTCAAACCTGAAGTGAAAAACTGAGCTGAAACCATGAACTTTTTTTTTTTTTAATTCCTACTTTAGACTAGCCTATTAATCACCTGGAGCCCAGAACATTTTCAATTTGATCACTTTAGAGCATTAACCTCATGTATACTTTTAGGAACTATGAAGTGCTTTTAGTGACAGCACTTCCCTTCACTTCAAAGAGAAAGGGAAAAAGGCATAGCTCTGTGGTTAGGGCACCAGCTACATGCACGGGGGCTGGCAGGTTCAAACCTGGTCTGGGCGTGCTAAGTAACAATGACAACAACCAAAAAATAGCTGGGCATTATGGTGGGTGCCTGTAGTTCCTGCTGCTTGGGTGGCAGAGACAAGAGAATTGTTTAAGCTCAAGAGTTTGAGATTGCTCTTGAATTGAGATGCCATGGCACTCTTAATGAGGGTAGCATAGTGAGACTTTGTCTTGGAAAAAAAAAAAAAAGAAAGGGAAGAAGGCAGAGGTCTTTCAGAATGAAAATATAGCACTATGCAACATAAGATTAGCATTTAAATCTACAGTAGCCCAAATTCAAATGAGATCAGCTACCTAAAGATTTTAGTGGAAGCTCTAGGAAAAGCTAGGTTGAAACTTTTCAATGAGGCATACTCAAATGGGAGAGACGCTTGATACTAGCCCTAGAAATTTAGTCCAGGAGTTGTTCTCCAGTTGCCCTAAGAGAAAGAAAATGCAACAACCCTCACTCTTAGGAACAATATTTGAAACTTCCTTACTAATGCAGCAGGATTTAGCACATAAAGAATTTCCATCCATTATCTTAATATTCACAACATTAAATAAAGCTTATGAAGTTTTTAGTTACTTAAGAAAATGCTATGTCATAAGTTGAGAAAAACAGATACAGGCTGTAAAAACCACCCTGTTTTGTTTTTTTTTTTGATACAGAGTCTGACTCTGTTGCCCTGGCATTTGCCCCGGGATAGAATGCCGTGCCATCACAGCTTGCAACAACCTCAAACTCCCTGATGCAAAGGATCCTCTTCCCTCAGCCTCCCAAGTATCTGGGAATGCAGGTGCCTCCCACAACACCTCGCTAATTTTTCTGTTTTTAGTAGAGATGGGGGAGGGAGTCCTCGCTCTTGCTCAGGCTGGTCTTGAACTCCTGAGCTCAAGCAATCTACTTACCTTGGCCTCCCAGAGTACTAGAATTACAGGTGTGAGCCATTGTGCTGGGCCAAAAATTACTGATTTAAATGATGTAAACAGACTACAATGAAGATGTAAGTCTTAAATCATGTAAGAATGTATAGGAAAAAAATAACAATATTTTACCAGAGGCTACCCTTAGGTAGTAGGGATCATTTAAATTTATTTTATTCTTTATGTTCTTCTCTATTTTCCAATGTTCAACAATGAGAATATGTTTAGGAAGAAACATTTTTTAGGTAATAAGAATAAGGTCAGGTGTGATGGCTCACATCTATAATCCTAGCACCCTAGGAGGCCAAGGCGGTAGGATAGCTTGAGGTTAGGAGTTGAACACCAGCCTGAGCAAGAGTGAGACCACATCTCTACAAAAACAGAAAAAAATTAGCTGTTTATTGTGGCAGATGCCTATAGTTGCAGCTACTCGGAAGGCTGAGGCAGGAGGATCACTTGAGTCCAGGAGTTTGAGGTTACGGCAAGCTATGATGAGATCATTGCACTCTAGCTTGGGCAACAATGCAAGACCCTGTCTCCAAAAAAAAAAGAGAGAGAGAGAGGGGAGAGAGAGAGAGAGAGAGAGAGAGCGCGCGCGCCCACGAGAAGCTTTTGTTTCTTTCTGGGCAACTACTTCAGAAAACACAGTAATTTTGAAGCATGTATAATTTACAGACAAATGACTGGGAAGTGAGAGAAGAGGACACATTACCTTTAGCAAAGTTGTATTTATAGGATTCAGGCGGGAATTGCATTCAACCTAAAATTTAAAAAAAGGAGAAAACAATTTTATGAATTACTAGAAAAAGAAGAAATAGCTTGTCAAGAAAATGATCTTGCAAGATCAACAGCTCAGAGATGGCTGAACCATCCAAGGAGATTATCATAGTATATGAAATATATTTATATGATATACTTTATATCTGGCATTTCTTTTTTTCTCCCTTCTTTCTCATCTGCCTTTTAAAAAATCAATTAATTTATTTTTATTTCAGGTTCATTTGAGAGTACAAAGAATTAGGTTACAGTGTTTGCGCTTGTTAGGTATAGTCCCTGTTGTTGTGTTTGATATTTCTGAGTAGATCTAAAACTGGCTGATTTCACTTTCTGAATCTATTGTAGGTAGAGACTGGAAAGAACTGTGTGCTGAGGCTCGGCGCCTGTAGCTCAAGTGGCTAGGGCACCAGCCAACATACACCAGAGCTGGTAGGTTCAAATCCAGCCCGGCCCACCAAACAAAATGACAACTGCAACCAAATAATAGCCAGGCGTTGTGGTGAGTGCCTGTAGCCCCAGCTACTTTGGAGGCTGAGGCAAGAGAATTGCTTAAGTTCAAGAGTTAGAGGTTGCTGTAAGCTGTGATGCCATGGCACTCTACCCAGGGTGACAGCTTGAGGCTCTGTCTCAAAATGAAAAAAAAAAAAAAAAAAAAAAAGAACTGCATGCTGAATCAAATTCTTTATACTGGCTAGCTATGTATCAAGAGGGCAGTTACCTTACTTCTTTAAGTGAACTAGATAGTGGCCCTCTCCTGCTGGGCTTTCTTGATGGTTTCTCAGTACAACTGATCACGATGACTAAGCCCTAGGTACCCACCCCATGGTACTTCGTACCCTTCTCCTGGGCCCGGGGGTGGTAAGTCTACTGTTACCTCCATCCAGTCTCTTTTCTGCTTCTAGGTCTTTGGTTATCCACTCAAAAGTTGAACTCTTCTACATATGGAAGAGTGAAGTGTTGAACTCTTCACTTATTTACATATGTGCTATCCTGTATTTTTATATCCATAAAGGCAGAAACCTCAGAGAAAATGTTTTGAGGAGATAATCCCTGGGCCCAGCAATGTTTTAGGGCTAAAAACATTATGATTAAACTAGACTATCCTTCTACATGTTTGCAAAAAGAAAACAAACAAAAAAAACATATAAAACCTGGGCGGTGCCTGTGGCTCAGTAAGTAGGGTGCTGGCCCCATATTCTGAGGGTGGCGGGTCCAAACCCGGCCCGGACAAACTGCAACATAAAATAGCTGGGCGTTGTGGTGGGCGCCTGTAGTCCCCACTACCTGGGAGGCTGAGGCAAGAGAATCACCTAAGCTCAAGAGCTGGAGGTTCTCTATGGTATTCTACTGAGGATGATAAAGTGATATCTGTTTCTAAAAAAAAAAAAAACAAAAAAACTTGTGCTAAGAGTCTGAAATTCAGTGGGGTGACAACATGTAATACAAAGCAAAATGAAATCACTTCAAAAATTTCACAAGTAAGGGCGGCGCCTGTGGCTAAAAGGAGTAGGGCGCTGGCCCCACATGCCAGAGGAGGCAGGTTCAAACTTGGCCCTGGCCAAAAACTGCAAAAAAAACGAAAAAATTTCACAAGTGAGGTAAATGAAGATAGAAGGATGAGTAGTATTTCTACAGACAGATGAAGAGGTAGGCGTCGGAAGGCTTCAGAGTCGGGAGAAGCAAAGCAAAGAGCCAGGAGGTGTGAAGGGAATGCTACATACAGAGTTAACTGTGAGGTGCGGGTGCCCTGAGACATGGGGGGGGGGGCGGAGGGGCAGGGTGGAGCTAACTGTGGAAGGCAGGAGGCCACAGGGGGTGCCTGAGGTAACAGGATTTGAGCTGTTTTACAACAGCAGTAGCCTAATAATGACAGATTGCAGAGGCAGCAAGCCAGTTATGGAGTTAAAATTACTGAGACAAAAACCAGTGTTAGAGCTAAACTTTTGCTGTGGGGATTGCTGGTGTGCAGGTATACAAAACTCTTCTAAAATCGGGATAATCTAAAAGTCAGGATTACCAGATCAGACTTTTGATTTGCTATAAACAATGAAATATCCAGGTGGTGATAAACAAATATACCAGTTTACTACAGAATATGCATTAACTCTGAAAGGTAGAATTTAGTGCTTAAAACACAATAGATAAACTACAAATATTAACTGGAAGACTGAACTCCCAAGTCTGGGTTTAACATAATAACTCATAGTTTCTTCCTTGGTTCACTACTTTGTAATTTCTGTAACAATTTAAGAAGTCTTAATACTGGTGGGCCAACCACATTGGTGTTTTCTGACATGGCTACTCTCTACCCAGGTCTCTGAATACAGAGATTGTTTTATTTTCATATTCTACATAACACTAAGCCACAAAAACTGATGTTAAATGAATAAGTGAGCAAGAACAGTTAGCAACAGAGACTAGAACTTGTGAAGTGTCTCCTACTTCTTCCACTCTTCTCAATCCCTACCAACTTGTGGGATAAAATGCAGGGGAGCTAGGTTGGACTGTGTAAAGAAGAGTATCTGCTTTGTGGTACAGATGGGCTCCTGAAGTTCTTCTCTATAAACATTCAGGGTGTGAAAAGTAGAAAGAGGAAGACAACTTATCTAGATATGACTAAAATAGTCTTGAAAAATAATTGCAAATGTTGCTTTAAGTCCATGCAATTTAAAAAAAGACAAATATTCCAAATCCTTCCAGGTAAATATAAAAAATAAAAAAATAAAAATAAAAAAGGCAAATAGGGTGGGGCCTGTGGCTCAGGGGGTAGGGTGCCAGTCCCCTAAATCGAGGGTGGTGGGTTCAAAGCCAGCCCGGCCAAACTGCAACAAAAAATAGCCGGGCATTGTGGAGGGCATTTGTAGTCCCAGCTACTCGGGAGGCTGAGGCAAGACAATTGCGTAAGCCTAGGAGTTGGAGGTTGCTGTGAGCTGTAACATCATGGCACTCTACCGAGGGAAATAAAGTGAGACTCTTGTCTCAAAAAAAAAAAAAAGGCAAATAACTTTAGACCCAAGATTCATTGTGGAAATACTTAATCTAGTTGTTTTTTTTTTTGAGACAGAGTCTCACTACGTCACCCCGGTACAGTGCCGTGGCGTCACAGCTCATAGCAACCTCAAACTCTTGGGCCTTTAGTGATTCTCTTGCTTCAGCCTTCCAAGTAGCTGGGACTACAGGCTCCTGCCACAATGCCTGGCTATTTTTTGTTGTTGTAGTTGTCATTGTTGTTTAGCAGGCCTGGGCTGGGTTCAAACCTGCCAGCCTCAGTGTATGTGGCTGGCACCCTAGCTGCTGAGCTACAGACGCCGAGGCACTTAATTCAGTATTATAAGGGAATTCTGATTAAGGCTATTTTCTTTTTTTTTTTTT